GGACAGGAGGGGGTGCAAGGGGGTGGGCGCAACGTATCATGTTGGGAGGGGGTCAGCAATTCATTCCAAGCTGCGTGCGTGGAGGGTTGCCATTGAACCAGGGTGGCGAGCAGCGGGGGCTGCAGGCCGGAGGTGCGGGCGTCGAGACTGACAGCCTGGGATGCAGGTTCTCCTGTGCATGCAGCTGCGCAATTCCTTGTCTTGATCTGGCCGCTTGAGAGGTGCAACACTAGCACAAGCTCAGAATCGCCAGCGCCTCCCCGTCTCACCCGTCCTGGCCCTGCACACCCCGCACCCCCCACCCACCAGAGCTTCTTGGCGCTGCTGACTGAGGGGAACACCACCACCCGCGAATCAGCAGGGTGCACCGCCTCGTTGGGGTTGCTGCGCGCAGGCAGGTGCAGCGCGGCAGAGTGGGGTGTGGTTCAACGGTAGCCAACACGCACACACGTGCGGAGAGCTCAGATCTGTATCCAAAGAGGGGTAGGCAAGGTCAGGTGGGAGCACATATGCTGAAGACTTTTACGTGCCTGCTAAGTTGCTTCACCCCTTGATGCCCTAACCCACAAAAACTGCGTTCACTGTAAAAAGCCTTGAATTGAGGCAGGCAGCATCCCCTCCCACGCCCTTGCAGGAATCTTGTCCCCCACCCCACCCCCGCTGGGTCTTTGTCGTTCCCCCTTGCCCCGCCTGCGGATCGCGCTCTGGTCCTGGAGTGCTCACCCCGGCTCTGCAATGGGCCGTGCCCCCGGCTTGAGCTTGCGCGTGAAGAACTCCTGAGGCCGGCAGTGGTGGCATCCCGTGTGAGCTGCAACAGTGTTATGTCATTCCCTGCAAGCAGGCGTGCTGACTGACAAGCCGCAGCACGCGCAGTGAGGGGTAAGAAGGGCGATGCCAGATGGCCCTTGGCGGTCCGAGCCGCTCCCTGCGTGGCGGGCTGCGGCCACGAATGCAGCATGCGCACCTGCAGTGTCTTGAAATCTTCCACTGGACGCGCCGAGTCCTCGGTGCCAATGCAGTAGGACTGGGGCACGGCGCCGGCAGGATGCGGGGGGCCAACAGCGTGGGGCAAGCGAGGCTCGGACGTGCGACAGCAGGCGTGATGGGGATTGATGGGTGCGCTAGAGCACGCTGCAGGCCATCTGGCAGACAACCAAAGTTTGGGCAGGGCGCCACTACTGGGGCTGGGCGCAAACGGCGCGCATGCCATGCTGTTCATCACCCCCAAACCCGCTGACCAGCTTTGATGATGACATGCCCAATATACAGCTGCCCCACTTTGCCCGTTGCCTGCCTCTTCATCTGCGGTCGTTTCGCACCCTGATCAGGGACTTGATCTTGCTCTTGCTCTTGGGGCTGTTCGCAAACTTCGCAATCCGCTTGTGCTGCAGGGTCAGCAGCCACCAGGTGATCTGGAGGGAGGCGGGTGCACATGGATCGGGGCAGGGGTGGATGGGGCAATTTTCAGACGCAGGATCTTGTGTCGATGCACTCTGCTGAGTGCGCAGTACTGAGCAAGCAATGTAAGAAGCTGCAGGCAGGCATGCGGGCAGGCTGTGGCAGGTTGGCAGGCAGGCATGACGGGGCAGCCGATGACGCAGGAGTGTAGTGGTAGACACTAGATCTGTGTGTTCCAAATGCATGTGCATGTGCGGCTCCCAAGCATGTGGTCAGCAGGGGTGCGGGCCAGTGCGGCAGAGCCAGGTCAGCAGACCCGGGGCCCTACAGTTGACAATTGCGTTTATGCATGCAACAGGCGTGCATTCGGCATCAAAATGCAATCTTCATGGGTGGGTTGTTGCCGCCCGCTGTCCCGCCGCACCGGCAGCTTCAGCAGGAAACGGCCAAACCAGGTGTTGTACAGGAGGGCCGTCCGCAACGAAAAGGTGAACGGCGTCTGGCGGGCGATGAGGACGGCAGCGGCGCACGGGCGATGAAGACTGGCAGGGAGCATGAGGCAGGTTGCTCATGCTTGCATACAATATGCAGCATGCACATATGCCGTCACTGCCTCAAGCTGCGGTTTGGGCCCTCCAGATAGGCACATGAGCACAGCGGGTCTGGCGGCGGCGCACCGGCTCAGGGACGCGCTGCCCGGTTTTGCGGTCTATGAGACAGTGCGTAGTCTCAAATGAAGAGAAAGAGGCTCCCATCTTGTCGTCGTTGCACACAACGCGGAACGCGTGGAAATGAGTAGGCGGGCTGAGTTTGAACGTTGCGGCAGGTTGGCTGGTTTTCGTGGAAAAACGGTCTTCTCAAAGGTGCTGCAAGCAAGGATATTGATTTTCTCCAGTCCAGTTCGACCCAAAGAATCCGTGATTCGACGACATCATTCTGCCATCAGCACGTGCAGTTGCACGCAGCTGCTGTGCGCCCAGTGCGCCTGCCTGAGCTCATTACAGGGGCCAGGAAAGGTAGACTGGGCACATCATGGACTTTATGGAGCACTGCTGGCTGACGAGCTCTCTCATACAGGAGCCCAGTTTTCACAGTCTGGCTCCAATTATCCAAAGGCTGCCATCCCGGCGGTGTGCCGCATGACTCGGCTTGCAGTCATGCGATGGGGGGCATGTGTGCAAAGCATAAGGAAATTGGCAAGCCTGGTCGCTGCAGGCAGGCAGCCCTGCCTCGCTAGCCATGTCATTGTGCTTCTCAAAGCTTTATGCAGTTCTGCGTTACCCCCATGGGACCTACCAGAGCGGCATGATTCGCGATTGCCCTGCACGCTGCTTGCGAGCCCCCCATCGGGCAATCAGGCCGACCGATGCATGGCCACCTCATCATCTCTCACTGCAGCAGCTCAAGCGGGTGACGCGGCAGCTGCATGTCCAGCATCCAACCTTCTGGCCTTGAGCAAGGACCACGCTTCCTGCTCCCCTGTACGCATCGTATTGAGGTGGTTGTTTGATCAAACTTTCCATCATCACATACGCGCTGGGTCCCAGCATTGATCTCTGCTGACAGCAGACGTGCTGAGGGTAGCTTGCGTGCTGGACAAGGCCTTGCGGCTGACTTGACGTTGAAGCGCACGAAGCCATGAGGGGCCCCGGCGTGCTGTACGTTGGCGGGCTCCCAGAGGGGGTTCGTGAGAGCGAGCTCTACGAGCTCTTCGACAAGGTGCGGCCTTGGTACTGATATGTTTTGCATGCATCTGGGGTGAAAAGGGGCGCCGGACTGCAAGCGGCGTGATCTGACGCTCTTCTCTCGCCTCGTCTCCTTGCGCACGTAGTTCGGCCGTGTCAAAGGTGTAGACATCAAGATGCCTCCCCGGCCGCCGCCCTTTGCCTTCGTGGAGTTTGAGGACCCGAGGTGCGATCGCCGCTCGTCGCTCGTCCCAGCTGTCCCTGCAAGGCCTCAGCACAGGCCGCCGCAACTGCTGCAACGTCCAGTGCGTCGATCCAATCAGCCGCGTCGGGCATGCCCTCAGCATTCTCTCAATCATGTGCTGCAGGGACGCCGAGGAGGCTGCCCGCGCACGCGACGGCTACGACTTCTATGGCTGCCGCCTGCGCGTCGAGGTCGCGCGCGGCGGCAACCCGCGCGGCCCGGGCGGCGGCTTCGGCGGCCCGCCGCCCAGGTTTGGCGGCGGCGGCGGGCCGCCGCGCAGCGGGTACCGCGTTACCGTGCGCGGCCTGCCGCCGTCGGCCAGCTGGCAGGACCTGAAGGTGGGGGGGGAGGGGCACTGGGGGTGCCACATGCCGCGTTACGGCTAGGGTCCTAGCAGCGGCCACCCCAGCCGCTGATGTTTGTAGGACATGCCTTGGCACACGCCTTGCCGCGCAGCTGGTGTTTGACTAGCGTAGGGCGTCCCTCAGGATTGGACTGTTGCGCTTACTCGCACGCCCTCCCCTCCCCCAAACGTCGAACGCCCCGCCAGGACCACTTCCGCATGGTCACCAAGCCCATCTTTGTCGACGTCATCCGTGACCGCGGGGAGACCATCGGTGGGCACCACCCTATGCCCTCGCCCCCACACCGGCCTTCCCTTCAACAGTCTCTTGCTCGGCCTGCTGTGCCCCCGCTGTCGATGTCAGCGACCTGTCCGATGCGCCCCGCATTGCGTCTTCCTCCCAAACACAACACAAAGCGTCATGCCTCTGCGTCAATCCTGATGCAAGTGCGCGCTCCCTCCTTCTGACCCTCCCTACTCGGTCCAGCCCGCGCGGCTCAAACGCGCGTGATCTCCACAACAGTGCGGCACCCAACGGGACCCCCTCCTCGCCCGGCCCCGCACCCCGTCCCTTGCAGGCGTGGCGGACTTTGAGACGCGCGACGAGATGGACCATGTCATTCGCAAGCTGGATGACACCGAGTTCAAGAACCCCTTCGAGCAGTGCTTCATCCGCATCACGGAGGACCGCTCCGGAGGCGGCGGCGGGTACGGGTGGGCACGCAAGCGGGGGCGTGTCCGCGCGCGCGCGTGCGGTGCATGCGGCGGGTGTTCTCAAGAAAGGCATCTCTCAGGCGGTGCAGCTTGTATCAAGGAGGCCCGGCTGCGGCGCCTGACACACGCCTGGAGCTTGCGGGTGGCGGGCTGTGTGCCTCCAAGTTGCAGCCTGCAGCTGCCAACTGCCTGACGCGGCGGCCTGCGGGTGCGGTCTCCCAGGTACAACGGCGGCGGCGGCGGCTACGGCGGCCGCGGGGGTGGCTACGACCGCGGCTACGGCGGCGGCGGCGGCGGCGGCGGGTGAGCTTATGCCTGGTGGCGGCCGCGCGCCGTGTGCCGTCTCGGCAATGTCATCTTCACAATGCTAGGCGTGCTGGGCCCCCCCTGGCGGTTTCCTGTTCCCGCCCTGCATTCCCTGACTCTCACACATCCCGCGCTCCCTCCACTCCGCCCTGGCCATTTCTACTTGTGCAGCTACGGCGGCGGCCGCGACTACGACCGCGACCGCGGCGGCGGCCGGCGCCGCTCCCCCTCGCGCTCGCGCAGCCCCAGGCGCGACCGCAGCCGCAGCCGTGACCGCAGCCGCGGGCGCGACCGCAGCCGCAGCAGGAGCCTCTCGCGCGATCGGGCCCGCAGCGCGAGCCGCGACAGGAGCCGCTCCAGGTGAGACGCCTGATCTCGCTCCTCGAAACCTATCGAGCCTAGGCGTCGCGTTGCGTGCCGTGCCTCTGTCTCCGCGCCGCCCGCGGCCCCCTCCGCCCGTCTCCTGTGCAAAGCACTGGCGCCTGGTGCTGGCGGGAGGGGCCGGCGTCTCGCGTCCGCTGCTGTCGTGGCACCTGGGGAAGGGGAGCTGAGGCGCGGGCGCTGACGGCGCCTGGAAAGGAGGCGCCCGTCGGCGCCGTTTGTTGCTAGCTGCTGCTGGTGCTCTGTGGGCTTTGGACTTTGGGCTCTGGACTGTGGGCCGTGGACAGTGGACTGGCGGGCGCCTCGCCAGCTCCATAAGATCGCGCGGGCTTTGGAGCGGAGATGCAAAGAGGCCGGCGGGCCTTGCTGGCTGGCCCGGGCGGGGACGGGGCGCTGGCTGGCCGCTGCTGTGGCGTGGTTGGGCTCACGCAGGTAGACCGCGCGCTAAGATAGAAAAACGTCCGTCCAAAAATAGTAGGAGGGCAAAGGCCGGTGCGGTGCTCCAGCGTCTCGTCCCCGGGGCCCCCATTCGCACCCGCCTCTCCTCTTCGCCCGCTAACGAGGACATGCCGACCTTCAGCTTTCTGACGCGACTTCCCTGTCTACTCACCCCCTCACCCTCAACAGGTCGAGGAGCCCCAGGAGGAGCCCGCCCCCCGCCGAGCGCGCGGCGTCCCCCCCGCCCGCCGCCGCTGCTGAGTGAGCGGAGTCCGGCCGCGTGCTTCCTGCGTGGGTGCTGCGCGCGGAGACGTCGCCGCAGGAAACGTGGTGCCCGCCGCTTCCGTCGGCGGCTGGAGCAGCGGCATTGGTGGGGGATATATGGTGCTTCGAGGCAGAGTGGTGCTGCACGGACGCTCGGCTGCCAATTGCGGAAGGGATGCTGTGGGTGTCGGCTATTGTGAGGCACCTCATGCGCTTGGTGGGGCCGCCGCGGCCAGGTGGGCTGGATTAGGAGAAGAAGGGCTCGTGCTGGGGTGTCTTGTCTGCAAGCCTGTGACTGCATTCGTCTGCTTTCGTCGCTGCCAAGAGTGCTGCCCTGCACTCCTCACAGCACGCCTGGAATTTGCAGGTTTTGCTTTGTGCCGCTTGGCACCACGCTGCATGTAGAAATCAAACTGCAAGCAGTAGCTGCGAGACAGGTACAAATATGGCAGCAGTGCAGCACTTTTCCCCGACCAGCCGCAGAGCAGCTACACGCACAGCACCGGCCAGTCACCGTAGCTGAGGCAAAGCAAAGACGCGACAGCACATGCGCAGCGGCAAAACCCAGTGTGCGCGTCGGCGCTGGCTTGACAGAGGTATCTATTGCATCCGCAGCAAATCGGAGCGACAAGGGCAATGGTCGCGCAAAAAGAGCAATGAAACCCAGCTGCCAGCGTGGCATGCGCTCAGGAGCGCAAAGCCGCGCGTTGCACAAGCCTCCGCACGCGCCTGTCGTCGACGGCCAACCCCAATCAGGCCGCTTGCGAGTGGGCGGCTGCATTCAAAGGAAAACAGGCCGCTCGAGGGGGCCGTGTTGCGGTCACGAGGGCACGGAAGAGGGCACTGAAGGGTGGGCCAAGGTTGGGAGGGCCAACGAAAGACGTCAGCAACGAAAACCCGGTGGCGCTCGCGCGGGTGCGCGCGCAGTCCTTGTGCGGGACAGTCCACAACCTCGCAAACCACGCTGACCGTTTCCAACCAAGTTCAAGGGGCAGTGGCTGCAAGCCCGGCCGGCGGAGCAGCAAGCTTTCCGGGCGACACATATCCTCCTCTCCGACCGGCGCCGGCCCTGTTCGTCGCTTGCGGGGCAGCCGCCACAACTGTGCACGCCCGCCGCCTGACGGCGTCTGACGTCACCTGATGTCACCGCACGTTGTACAGCTCGCACCTCAGCCGCAGCGCGCCCCCCTCCGGGCCCACCAGGAACGGCCTGAACGCGCGCGCGTCCCAGCGCCCCTTGGACAGCTTGGCACAGAAGAAGTTGCGGAAGCCCGTGTCGCAGGCGCGGCTGCGCACCCAGCTGCCCTGCGGCAGCTCGCGCGCCTCCCACACGCCCCCGCCCTCGCACTCCTCGTCGTCCTCCGTGTCGCCCCGCCCCCCGCCGCCCTCGCCGGCGCCGCTCGCGCCCGACGCGCCGCCGTCGCCGCTCGCGGCGGGCGTCGCCCCCGCGC